TGCGTTGCAGAGATCAACTTCCTTTTTTTATAACCCGTTCCTAAACCACCTCAGTTTTCCACCTTTAAGGTTTCTTGTGCAAATTCTCCATGCAAGGAATTTTCTAGGAATCATCTTTCTTATCGTAGATTCTCTTCCCATAATCTGTCAACGTTTCTTTCTTCACAATGACGTTTCATTCAGCGCAAAATTTACTCCTGACTATTCTGTAAGTACTCATGTAAAGAAACATATTCTAGTGTTACGCACTGGCAAACGACATTTGCCTTCTGTTCGGGGCAGGTGAAGCCTACTTACATTTCGTCTAAGTTACGAGCACCAGTTCATGGTTATTATCTTCCTTGCTATTCGGTTCATATTTGCAAAGATCCACTTGGATCATTCAACAACGCCTGTACCATACTTTACAAGAGTAGAAGCATTGTTGTCTGCAACCACATTCTAACATTCGACATGGATCTCGAAAGCTTCTTTTACACACTGAATATACTCATCTCATTATTGTGATACTCCTAGGTATCTATAGACGCTCCTATTTTGAAATATTCTCCATCGAGAAACTTTATCACTGTGTTAGCAACTTTCGTCAATCTCTCCTCATCAAGTTCAAAAAGTGTCCTGATAAGATAGGAGCATATTCTCATGGTGTTTATCAAGAAATCAAACTGATCATTATTGGTAGTATAATAACATAACAAGTGGTTTTAGTACTCCCAGGTATTTATAATATATATCTTCAGAGATTCGCCATTGGATAGCTCTGTCACTGTGTTATCCACCTTTTGTTTCTTCTTCATTTTCAGCACAGCACACTCATCAAGTTCAAAGTACATCCTGATAAGAAGGAAGGATATTCTCATGGTATTTATCAAGGATGCCCACTTGATAGCATACAACTTAAGGTCGTCCATGAATAACAGGTTGATAGGAGGTTTCTGATCCTTTACAAGATTTGAACCAAATTTTTTATCGTTGAGAAGATGCATGATGATCACAAATAACAGTAAAGTTCAAGAATCTCCCTCCTCCGCCGAATATTGTTATGATTATTGTTCTTATTATTGAGTGAGGTATCAGCAGACCAAAAAAGTGGCACTGAAATACATAACACATGAAGCGCAATGTACCCATCATGGCACCCATTCAGATTAGGGAATGCCATGTATATACACAAGGGACGAATCTGCGCGATATAGCGATAGGTTCTGAAGAAATCAGGTCATAGCCTTGCAAAGGGGTCATGTTAGAAATATCTTCTTGTCAAGTAACCAATTCTGCTCAGACCTTCTCCGCCTGAGAGTGTTACCAGGTATTTAGATGTGAAATCTAATCATCTTGTCTATTTCACTCTTTAAAATTAAAGAAATACCTATCGTCACACACCTTTACTATTTCTACTCATAAACAGAGATGCACAGTGTATCAAGTCCGTTTCCAACCATTTATCGCCAGACAACTGACAGATGAATCTGTCAAATCTGCAGTAGTGATATTTACTACAGCCAATCTAAATTCATCAATGTTATGCACATGTTAAAACCTCCAATCAGTTAAGATCAAAAGTCATGAGAGCTAAGCCTGCAGTAGCATCAGCACATTTATTATTATTATTGTTGTTGTTTTTATAAGCCAGCTAACCTATCTCGAAATAGGATTCGCTTTGGATTGAGTGCTTTGATAAGAGATATATAATGAACTGTTATAGCAATTCCCTTCTTTTGATTCGTTATTAAAAATCCAGAAATATTCAGTAGTTTCGTATTCCCCTTCTTAAAGACAGAAGTCATTACAATGAGCTAGGTACCTGCACTTTTTCGCCAGAAACAGAACAGAATAATGTAAAATGCCACAAACTTTAAAAAAATATCATCGTCAAAATGTTTGTTATTATAAAGATAAACGATCAAAGTATTCAGTAATTTCATATTCCCCTTCTTATAGACAGAAGTCATTAAAATGAGCAACAAGCACAGAAACGATCAACAGCAAATAAATACAAAGATTGAAAAGAAAAAAAACAGCAAACAAATGGAAATAATAATAATAATAATAATAATAACAGATAGCCATCAAAGCATGATTATCCGAAATTTTAAAGGCAGTGATTATTATGAACGTTTGTTAACCTGGCCAATTCTGGTATAAGGATTAGCAAGCTTGACCTGTCAACTCAATTATGACTGAGTAGTAAATTCGATCTTCAAAGAGTGCTCCAATCTTTCAGCTTTGTGCCACATATAATCCACGCTTAGAAAAATACCATACATATTATTATTATTATTATTAGAACAATTGTAAGAATCGGAAAGAGTCTTTCAGAAACATTATTAAATCTAGAAGTCTAAGAAGAAATTGAAACTATCCGGACAGCAAGAATACTGACGAAATTAATTACGATCACGTGATATACACCGAGATTCAGCAGATATTATTCAGTCGGCATCCTTTATTTCCGGGGGACTGTAGAATCGATTAGGATGGCGAGACCCCCTATCAGGTATATTTCTTCTTTCTTTACAGAGCCAATGTGTGGTTTATGCAGTGATTCTACTCAGTGATTATTACTTCCAGTTTTTAGGTGAAAGCGCAGAGTAGGCTGAAACTGTCGCTCATGATGACTGCTTCCAAACTCAGTTACCTTACCTAATTTCATTCATAAACCTTAAGTCAACCTGTCGTATAGTTTTCAGACATTTTTCCAGGGATGACGCATGCTAGTATACCAACAGATATACAACAGACCTGAAAACAGAATAAATAATATAATAGTGAAATTCATAAGACCACTTTGTCAAGTTATATATTTTTTCATTGACTTATTTTTTAATCAGAGTTTACGTGAAACATTAATAGTGTTAGCGTTTGCTTCAAGGGGATTTACTGATCATTGATTCTGTTATCCTCACCAACCAGTCATGTACATACCGTCTACTTTATTCCTTTCATAAATGTGGTAACGTCAGTATTCGCCACAAAGTGTTGTTAGTCCACTCGAACAAAAGTGATGAAGGAGAAAGATATTGCAGAAACGTCTAAGAACTAATATAGATCAGTGAAGAGCCAACCCGCGTCCCTGGCAGGACATCATTCGTACCTACTTGACCTCTTCTTCACATCTTACCCTGAACAAGGCCTCACCCTCTACCCATTCGAATTCTTTTGGTGAGCAGTAAGTTCCAACTTGAGCAGCTTCTTCCCATGAATCGCTGCCTTGTAGAACCGACTCCCAAGAGGATTCTTTCCCAATCACTACAATTTTAAGCCGTTCAAATCTAGGATTAACCGATATCTTCCACACATATCTGCTTAAACTGTGCCTCTTACTCTGTCACCCTCTAGCTCGAGAGGCCCTCGGGCTTTGTGAAGAGAGAACATCATTGTAAATGAAATAAAAAATATGGAAACTTCATTAGCAGTGTTTTTTGCATAAGGGACTCAAAACCTACCCTGAGTTATTTATATTATGAAAACTGAGAAAAAACGAAAAACAAAATAAAACAAATTGGAAGCGCGAGATGGAAAAATCTCGAGTCCTTCTGATTGAATTCACAATAGAACGTCTGGGCTAAATAAATATGTTATTTTATATTTGTGTTTTACAGAGAAACAGGTATATTGTTCCTGTATGAATATGTAAGGTATTTACAGGAGAGTGATTTAACTGGAAATTACACACCTGTAATCTAACATGTTTTACCGGTAATTAGAGATTTTATCAAGATTTGAAAGAATGCAGCAGGAGAATTGGATTTAAGCCTGAACCAAAAGAATGAATGCGAAGTGAGCACAAACTCAACTAGAAATTGAATTTATTTCACTAATTTTAATATGACAGCCGCTATCAAATATAAAATATATGATGAGAATAAAGGCTTATAAATAAAGTCCTTCCGAGTTGGATTTTACGAGATTCAAAACCAATAAAATAACTGTGAATGCCATGAATTTCAGACGTTCTTGTATCGTTCCAAAGTCAAGTGTAAAAAAAAAAAAACATCTCAATGAAGAAGTTTACATTATCCGAAATTGTGAATTATTTTAGTACAGTTAAAATTACATGGAATTTACTGGACTTTAAAATATATTTCGTGTTATTTGGTTTTCTTTCGTGTCTGATATGAAGAAAAAAAAAACAAAAAAACAAGAGCATTGCCATTCTACACGACGGTAATCAACAGAATCAACAGCAGTAAATATATTTTTTGTACATTATTTACATTATTCGGACTAATGTCCTCATCTTTGTCGCCATATTTATGACAACGTTTCGGCGGTTGTACGCTCCGGCCTTCTTCAGGTGGTTGGAATTTCGAACTGAACCCTTTATTTCGCTCACTGGGGTAGGCTGTTCTAGTTTCACGTGCTATGTTTTTAATGGATGTCAGTTATCAGTTCGAAATTCCAACCACCTGAAGAAGGCCGGAGCGTACAACGGCCGAAACGTTGTGATAAATATGGCGACAAAGATGAGGACATTAGTCCGAATAATGTAAATAATGTACATAATACCTCATCTCAGAAATATAGACAGACATTTTTTTTGTCCTCGATTTTAGCTCTGTTGATAGGACTGACAAACCAACTTAGCATTTTTTAATCGTTATATTTCGGTTTTATCAATTTATGATGATATATATTGTTGTTACTCCAATTTTTTTTTTGTTATGAATGTTTTATTTTAATATGAATCTTTTTGTTGCTGTAATATAAGACAAAGTAAGTGGGCAAAAAAGATAGCGCTCAGGGGCTGATGTTCGTCGCCTAATCTATAAAGTAACTACCGCGGAAAACACTATGAAAAATGAGGGATGCGTATCTCACCACATCTGTTTGCGATCCGCGCTGCTTATTAAAATTGGTAGAATGACCACCTGGGAATTTCGATAAAAAATCTAAAACTTTTTTTTTAGTAACGAGCTATTTCATTATATATATTATATATATTAGGCTAATAAAAAGCCAAATTTATGAAACATTTAGTGCGTACTTTAATGCCTAACGTGCGTACAACTTGTGAATAGATAGATAGATAGATAGATAGATAGATAGATAGATAGATAGATAGATAGATATGTGCAAATAAATATAGATAGATAGATAGACAGACAGACAGACATAAGAATACATATATATATATATATATATATATATATATATATATAGATAGAGAGAGAGAGAGAGAGAGAAAGAAGGAAGTAGAGAGATAGAAACAGACTCAGATAGATAGATAGATAGATAGATAGATAGATAGATAGATAGATAGATAGATATAAAGAGGTTCAGATAGGAATAGATATATAAATAGATATATAGATAAAAACAGACATATAGATAGAATAATATATGCATAGTAAATAGATAGATATAGACAGATTTAGGTAGCTGGATAGATAGATAGATAGATAGATAGATAGATAGATAGATAGATAGATAGATAGATATAAACAGGCTGAGAAATATAGAAAGATAAATTGATACTAGACAGTCGTATGGATTTAATTTATTAATTCATAGTCATTTACAAGGTTTATGCTTAGTTTGTCACAAGGCAAATTATATGAAGCACCCAGAAATGATCAAATTCAATAATCAATAATAATGTTCTGTGAGAGCAAATTACATTATAGCTGTTTACTAGGAGTGTATTTGGACATAAGGTGACAATTATGGAGCAACATGGCAGAATCGAAATCATTATTCGGTTATAGTCATCTATCAGTTTAGCTTTGATGTATGACGTACGGGGCACCAAGTGAGGATCTAAATCATTACGAAGACAAGTGAAACAAATCTGCTAAACATTATACGACAAGGCGCGTAGTTTGCGCATATGCACGCGTCTGTCTAATAAGTCGTTCTAATATTTTCAGCGCGTGAATTTCTTAAGATAACTCTAATCTCTTAGTTTATTTAAAGTGCAATCCAGTAAATCAGATTAGTGTAAACACGTAAGTTGCGCTCTCGGGAGCATTAGAGTCAACCAAAATCAATTCATCATTGTTTTGACAACACAAAGAACAAATAACCACGTAAAATCTTGACTACAATACTCACAAGAAGCGTGCATGTTGTAATCATAAAAATCACAAAAGTAGAATTTTGTCCTGTGTTTAGTCTAAAAAAAAACCTTCCAGAAAAAAAAAATCTGGTTTTTGAAAGCAACCTATTTCAACAGATCAAAGAAAACACGGATATTTGACTGCGGACTGAAGACTAGCTTTCAACATTTCAAATCTGTCGCGCAAAAGAGAGAAAAAACAAAAGAGCAAATACTCAAAGAGAATAGCAGAAAGACGTTTGATCAGATATTTATTTTATCAACTTTGTCAAAAGAAGTGTTAATGGAGACACTTATTAAGCAACAGGTCCCCTGTCGACAGCTGGCAATACTATTGAATAAGTGATGGCATAACTGAAGTAGATTCGTGAACAGTGTATGTAAATATAAGCAAAGTCACTCACAAGCGCATATAAAGAGACAGATTTAGGAAAAATTGTCAAAATAGAGCAGAGTGATAAATGGTCTTGAAAAATACGAAAAATATTAATAAATTAAAGAAAAAATGGAGATGTAGTGATGGACGTACGAATGTAAGCAATAACATTACATATCTACATACATATATAGGTGTAAACATTCAGATATAAATAAAAATGTCTCAGAGAAAAGACAATATGAATAAAGAGAAAAGGAAAACTGTTCTTTACTTATGCATTACGTCTTCTGATCTACCTCGTCAAGGCAAATGTAAGGTTTTCAATATATTTAAATTTAAGCCTAAAAATATTTATGCGAGTACTTAGAGTAAAAAAAACAAAAAACAAACTTGGAAGCTAAGCGACATAATGGATTTCTCTTTAGAAATAATTGGTACAAAATAAAATTCTTATATTTGCCTTGACAATGTCAAGATGACAAAATAAATCGCTAAAGAAAAGCTTTTCTTTTGTCATTATTCAAATATATATATTCGCACGCGCGTGCGCGTGTGTATGTGAGAGAGAGAGAGTGAGAGAGAGATGAATTTCGCTAGAAAGAATTTTTTTCAAAGGTATTAAATATTCAACCAAACGTGTCTGAATATATATATATATATATATATATATATACACACACACAAACACAGACACACTTATAACGGGATGCTGAAAGATTCTCGCCATTATCCATTTCTCAAAATCTAACGGGAGAATATACTCTACCTCACTCTCTCTCTCTCTCTCTCTCTTTCTCTCATTCTACAGATATATACACACACGCACACACACACATACGTAGGTGTGAGTTTCCGTGTGTGTGTTCGTGTCTTGTTAAAAATAGTCATTTTATTATATCTTCACTGAAGATTAAAAAATGATCAAAGAAATTCATAGATACACAGTGTATAATCTTCATAATAAGACACATTTTCAAGAAAAATTTCTGCCAAAATATACGGTATATATATATATAAGCATTAAGTTAAAGATCAAATATGGATCGGAATCCTATAAGATGATAAAATAAAATAAAAACAAATAGGAAAGGTATTATGAATCTAACATGTTTCACTTTTATTAAAGCTTCGTCAGAGATTGAAAACAATACAACCAAAAAGACACAAACACTGGTATTATCAGTTTTGTTTGGGTCAGTTCTGATTGGCCAGATCCGTGTCACGTGTTTTAAGATCGTAGATAATGCTATGTATGTAATTTTGTGAAAATTCTTGTATGTCTAAGTGGCCATCGGATGGTAATATGTATTCGTAATTCGTAGCGGGGTGTCACATGATTCTAATTTATGGATTATCTCTTTAAGCATACATTCTTTGTATTAGATAGTTATAAATTAGTTTATTTAAGAATGGATTCAAATAAATATGGCGTTGTAATGTAATGTTTTAAGACTCTTTTATTTGAGTCAAACTTATACCTATCTAATAGAAATAATACATGCTTAAATTAGCTTGTCATTCATTTTTTAATGAAACAGTCAATATAGAAAGACTACTGCCAAAATATACACAGATATACATATCATGAATAATGCGGTATCGTAATAAAAATGTGAGACATAATGTAAAACAAACTACAGAGCTTAAAATATATATACAGTGAGAAAGTTTTTATCAAACGTAGACCTGATCCATGGATATTTTAATGAAATGTTCAGGCGTCAAATAGAAACCATATGACAAAGATGTTACAACTCAATATGATACGAATGAATATTTATATATATATATATATATATATATATATATATATATATATATATATAAGAAATATAGTCTTAATATGTGCTATATTTATGGGATAAAGATATCATACATAGAGCGTGTGTAAGTATAAATATAAAAGTGAGCATAGAAGTCAACAATTAGAGGCGACATTCTGTTTCATGCTAGGCGCAATTGTCAGGTCATATATATATATATATATATATATATATATATATATATATATATATATATATATATATAACTAGGAACCTAAAGAGCCAGGCAAACCTACCTATGTTTTACCAACGCGGATTGACAGGGTTGTTTCCGCCTCAATTACATGTCACTTTTTTTTTTTTTTTATTCCTTATTTTTCCTTGAGTATTGGTTTCTTCATTTACAACCCAAAACACGTAAGGTATTTCCAATGAATAGACTTACTTATATTTATAAGATTATTAATTGTATATATATATATATATATATATATATATATATATATATATATATATATATATATATATATATATATATATATTATATAGAGGACGGAATAAATTTTCAATAATCAAAAACAGTATTTTTAAGAGTGCTCAATACAGAGTAGAGGAAATATTATTTAGTAAAAATTATAACATAGACGTGTTATAAAATAACAACAAAATAGCCATTTGTTTCAACATTTCTGGTGTCTTCTCAAGTCATGGGTTTGACTGTAGAATAGAGAGATTTAAATGGTTCAAATCAACTAAATATCCATCAATAGAGGAAACTCTGTTAGATAAGATACAAAGACCAATCAAAATACAAGTATATGATAATTCTAAAACACTTGACAACCAACCTTTTTTTATAATAATTAATGCATTAATGTTAGGATTAGAGTACATTAGAAATCATTCTAATTAATATTAAATTTACTATGAAATTGAAAATTAAAATTACCAATTTTATTTAACCTGTATTAAGTTCAAAATATTATAAAATTATTTAAAGAACAAAGTGAGGAAAATATACATATATTTTATTTATTATTTTCTATTTTAATCGAAAAACCAAATTTACAGTAAGAGCAAACGCTAATCTAAGGAGATTCATACATCGTAACAACTTAGATACATTTGAAGGAATCTGAAACCAGACGATTTGGGCATGGGAAAAAATTTAAAAAATAACAATACATGCACAATTATATTATAATATACAAATACGTAGACATATTTAGACATATTTAGATATATAAACACGTAAAAACATGGACGAAACAGGAAGTAGATGTTCCAGAAGGAATATAATATCAGACACATATACATATAATGAAAAGCATGTACAAGCAAACATGCGCACATACATTAATGAAGGAATAGACATATAGATAGACAGACCCACAAAAATTCATCTCTAAAAGTATTAGTAAACGAATGCAAATCAACTATTAAAATATTACTTACATGGTTAAAGATATATAGATAAAAAGAGGGTTTAATAGAGAAGAGCGGTAGATGTTAGAAAATGAATATGCGGCTATGAACAAAACAAAGAAAAAAGACAATATTTACGCATACACACACAAAAATAATAATAATAATATATAAATAAAAAACCAATGGCCAAATTCAAATGTCCAGGCAAAAGGTAACACGGAAATGTTTATATTATAATTTTTGAATAAATAATATTTGCTCTACTCTGTATTGAGCACTCTTTTAATAATAGCGATAATGGAATTGGTTATTGGAATTTTATTCCGTCCACACCAATTCCATACTTGGATATTAGCTCCTATTACTGTTGAGCACTTTCTATTCTATTCTTATATTATGGATAGAATCAATTTCGGATTATCTTTAAAGAATATTTCCACCATTTATTTCGTCCATTTAAATCTACAAACGGAAAATTTCAGAAGAATGAGATGGAAAAGCATACCTTTTTTTTTCTTCTTGACTGAGACCATTCGCACAACCATGATAACTACTGTTTTAAGTATTTGAAGACAATAACAATGATTAAAGAACTGGCTGGTTTTGAAAATGACCTACTAGGAATCGTAAAAGAATTAAGCCTCCATAAATATAAAAACTCTTTTTTAAAAATCTTGATATTGTCAAGGATATAAATAAATCCGGTGATATTTATGTCATATCCGAAGAAAACGGCTAACTTTTATAAGTTATCCCCTAAGGATTATGACACTTTAGTTAAAAATAGTTTGACCCAATGCTACAAGAAAATTGACACAACT